CAACCCCCCCCCCCAAAAAAACCACCCCGGGGGTGTCCTGGAGTTAATTCTAACGATTTTCCTGGATTTTGTTCCTGCTCCTGACTAACGGTTCGGTCCCACACCTCGTCCCCTCGGTTGCTCAGGAGAGACAGGTAGTTTTTCCCCTCTGGTGGGTGCAGGTTTGCTCTTTTCTCCCCCTGCCCCCCACCCCGGGGTGGTGGGGGGGCCACCTAGGAGGGGTGTAGGTCTATTTTGGAGGCCAGTCATTCTGGAGATGAGTTCCTTCTGGTTCTCAGCCTTGGCGGTGGTCGGGGCGCAGGGTTTTGGGATAAGGAATTCCTTTTTTGGAGCGGCTGATCTGCTTGGTGTTTCCTCTTCCCTCTGGAATGTTGTAAATCCCTGGAGATAAGGGCTGGAAGGAAGGAGATAAAGGGGGTCAAAAAGCCCCCACCCCAGTCCCTCCCTCCCTCCTCTCCTGGGCAAAAAGGTGGGAAGGGGAGCCCGGGGGGGGCTCTTGAGGATTTTTACCCCTACGGACTCGGCTCTTCCTTAGGACATTCCGGGTGGGAAGCACGTGGTGGCCGCGGGGGCTCGGGGCGTTCGTCGTTCAACTTTTCCCTCCCCCCCTGCCCTAAAGCTGCTCCTCTTCCTCCTTCCAGCGCCCAGCAGAGGAACACCCAGACCAACAAGAAAAGAGCCATCCCCAACCAGGTACGGGCTGGGGCAGGAGATCCCGATCCTGAGGGGTCGGAGCTGCCTTCCAGGGCTCCAAAAGTGGGATTCCAGTTGTCCACCAGCTCCTTCCCTGGTGGTGTCTCACACCAGGGTTGGAGATGGGGCAGATGGAGCTCTGGGTCATGGAAGAGGAGCGTTTGCTCCACAGGAGCCCCTCTAAAAATGGGATTTATTTGATCCACCAGCTCCTTCCCCAGGAATATTTCACACTAGGGTTGAGGATGGGGCAGATGGAGCTCATCTAAAAGCAGGATTTATAGGATCCACCAGCTCCTTCCTTGGGGATATTTCACACCAGGGTTGAGGATGGGGCAGATGAAGCTTTGGGTCATGGAACAGGAGCGTTTGCTCCTCAGGAGCTCATCTAAAATCAGGATTTATTGGATGCACCAGCTCCTTCCTTGGGGATATTTCACACCAGGGTTGAGGATGGGGCAGATGGAGCTTTGGGTCATGGAACAGGAGCGTTTGCTCCTCAGGAGTTCGTCTAAAAGCAGGATTTATTGGATCCACCAGCTCCTTCCCTGGGGGTGTCTCACACCAGGGTTGGAGATGGGGCAGATGGAGCTCTGGGTCATGGAACAGGAGTGTTTGATCCACAGGAGCTCATCTAAAAGTGGGATTTGTTGGATCCACCAGCTCCTTCCCTGGGGATATCTCACACGGGGCTTGGAGATGGGACAGATGAAGGTCTGGGTCATGGAACAGGAGCGTTTGCCCCACAGGAGCTCCTCTAAAAACAGGATTTATTGGATCCACCAGCTCCTTCCCCAGGAATATTTCACACCAGGGTTGAGGATGGGGCAGATGGAGCTCGTCTAAAAGCAGGATTTAATTGATCTACCAGCTCCTTCCCCATGAATATTTCACACCAGGGTTGGAGATGGGGCAGATGAAGGTCTGGGTCATGGATCAGGAGCATTTGCTCCACAGGAGCTCCTCTAAAAGCAGGATTTAATTGATCCACCAGCTCCTTCCTTGGGGATATCTCACACGGGGGTTGGAGATGAAGCAGATGAAGGTCTGGGTCATGGAATGGGAGCGTTTGCTCCACAGGAGCTCATCTAAAAGCAGGATTTAATTGATCCATCAGCTCCTTCCTTGGGGATATCTCACACGGGGGTTGGAGATGAAGCAGATGAAGCTCATCTAAAAGCAGGATTTAATTGATCCATCAGCTCGTTCTTTGGGGACATCTCACACGGGGGTTGGAGATGGGGCAGATGAAGCTCTGGGTCATGGAACAGGAGCATTTGCTCCTCAGGAGCTCCTCTAAAAGTGGGATTTATTGGATCCACCAGCTCCTTCCTTGGGGATATCTCACTGGGGTTGGAGGTGGGACACATGGAGCTCAGGATCTCCTCTAAAACCAGCAGGAGCCGGGACAAGCTCCGACACGGGGCAGGATCTGCCCCAGCTCTCCCATTCCTGCCCCCAGGAATCCTCTGGGGGGGTCAGGGGCTGGAGGGGACGGGGACCAAGCGGAGATGGGGGGTTGGGGGGGGACACGGGGACGTACCTGGTGGCCCACCTTTGTCCCCTGCCCAGTTGGGGGGGCAGGACTGGCAATGCCCCCCCCCCTTTGCATGGTGTTAGGTCTGGCAGTACCTAACGCAGACATCGCCTCTCGTTTGGAAAGAATGTAATGAAATATTAACACTGTTACGATTATAATTAATTAATAGCATGTAATTGTTTTTTTTCTTTTGCTTTTTTTTTGTTTCGTTTCGTTTTGTTTTGTTTTTTTCCTGCTTTTTTTTTTTTTTTTTTTTTTTTTTTTTTTTTTTTAAATCAAAGTGATTTCAGATTCTGAGCAACTACCCATAATAGGAAACAATCCATTTGAAAGACTGGAGGGTGTAAGTAGGAGGTGTTAATTATAGCTAAATGCCCAATTCCCCTCCCCCCCTCTGGGCTAAATGCTACAGTTTTAGGTTGCTTTCATTTTAGTAACCATTTGATCTTTCCCAGGAGAGGATTCTGTACTATTTCTTTTAATCTTCTCTGCATGCAATTCAAAACTGGCTCGCTGAACTCAATTTTAAGTTAATGTTTGTGTTTATGAGCAAAAGATTGCAGGATCTACAACAAAACAAATAGAAACAATGTTTCTAAGTGTCAGTAAAGAAAATGGTGTGAAGCAAAGTTAGATGCATATTATTGAATGAGGCTGTTACTCCCTCTGCTCCCTATGATCTCTGGGAATTCAGAAGCCTTAGACCTTTGTAAAGTACAATAAGCTTTTACTGTAATGCCTTTTCAACTAGTGGACAATCTAGCAAGTAATTTTAAAAACATGTTCAAAGTAAAACAGATTGATGTTTCACTCTATGCATATGAGGGTCTTCAGTGACTAGAGCCAATTAACCAGACAGAACAAAGTTAAACAAACACATTAATCTTCGCAGGGTGGACATTCTATGCAGTAAATAATGCAGCACTTCCACTGTCATCAGATAACGTGCACTGTGCTGACTTCCTCTGAGACAGATTTTGGCGCTTGTATCAGTGCCAGATAGGTGTATCTTATAGCTCTTAATTTCCATGGATCAAAAGTCTCCAGAAATCAAAATGTCTCTGTTTAATCTAACTGGATGGGATCTAAGTTAAAGTGGAAATAGGTCATGCAAGAAATTACAAAATGTGTTTACCCACCTCGAAACATTGCTCCATATCTCATTCCTTTTGTAAGAACGTCTATAAATCCAAAACCGTATTTTCCACATCCATTGTTTGAATAAAGTTCCAGAGAGACATTCATTTCCCAACTTTCTTCTAGCACTGCAATAGCAAAATACGCTGCTGGTGTTAGCCATAGACATGTCCACAATCTGGGTTCAGACAAAGTGACAAATCAGCTGCAAGACCCAAATGCACAAAGGAGAAGTTGCAGCAACATCCTAATCGTGCTTACAACAGAAAAATGTGCTGCCAAAAGTACTGAATAAATACTTGACATAATAAGCAAATATCAAGACATACAGAAAATAAAAAAATAACAAAAAAGAAGAGAAATCTAGCACAATATGTACTGGTCTAGACCCTACAGAATAAGGATTTCCATGCGTTAGTATTCCAAAATCAGAA